AAAACAAACAACAAAAGGTAGTGTGTGTGTGTGTGTGTGTGTGTGTGTGTGTGTGTGATAGAAAAACCAGAAAAAGGAACAAAATGAAGCCTCAAATGTTTTCATTTGACCCCAACTAAAAACATTTTTTGGATTTTTCAGTTCAGCCACCGAACTTAAATAACTGATTATCTGCTCAGCTCTGCTTCTATCACCTAAGACTTCTCCTCCCTCCAGCACATCAGTAAAGTTCCCTGCAAGGATAAGCTCACCTAGTCCAAGGGAATCGCTGAAATGGAAGGAGTGCTTTGTACGTCGCATGAGGCAAGCTCATTGGCTGAAGTACTGACTCAGTGTTCAACTTTCTAACGGGCTAGATTCATCGCCACACACTCCAGGGTAAAACATTCCTACACCAGCTGGTGGTTAGCGTTAATTAGTAACATTTATTTAAATCATTTTTTTATTGTGTATAAAATGGCAAGAAATGCCGTCCCATCAAATATGCAGCTTAAAGAGGGATGGATGGTTATGGTGAGATAACCTCACGTCAGAGAAATCTAGGTGCACAGGTGGGCCTCGTGAGATGTTGCTGCATCCTTGGCTTGGATGTGCCTAATAAAACACCACCTCACAACTGGCACCCTTTGTGTCAGCCATAGCAAACAGGCCACATGCTGAATGCCTATGGAAACTGGTCTAATGCCTCAGCCTTAGAGGCAGTCTCTCCAGTGCAGGGTTGAGCCATATTTGTGGTGTGGAGCTGGACCTGTTCTGTGGATACAGAAAGGATTTCAGTCTCCAGGGCTGTTAAGTGAGTTGAGCAGGGATACGGCTAGTGAGTCAGTGAACGGGACTGATCCACCAAGTGAAAAGCCTCATGTAGGCCACTGCTACAGCACATGGGTTGCAACCAGGACCGATGAGAGCGGGGTGGGGGGAAGCCGGTACAAATTACCGGGACCCGGCGGTCCGGAAGGGGGCCCGGGGCCTGGCTTCCCACCTCCCTCCATTGCCTTACCGGGGCCCGGCGGTCCGGAAGGGGGCCCGGCTTCCCTGGTTTCCCCCACCTCTCGTCAGACCTGTTTAGCTGGTCTGCCCTTACTGGGGGGCCCCAAAATAATTTTTTCACCGGGGCCCGAACCCGCTTTCGGCGGCCCTGGTTGCAACACGAAATGGACAGGGCAGACTAGCTGAATGCAAATCCCATCCCATCCCATCCCATCAAGACAGACTCCCATAGTGTCCTCCTTCCACAGTCACTCTTCTGCCCATAACCGAATTCAGGGAGGAGATCGGGAAGTGTGGGCAGTAAGAGACGTAGCTGATGACCATCAACTGAGCTAGGCTCAGCACAGATCCTACAAGATCATCCAGGAACAAGCCCCCTTTTGGTACACCTGGGAGATCTACCACACATGCACCATGTTGGTTTCAGCTTGACCTGGCCGCACGTATGTGCAGGGTGGACACATGTGCCTGGGGCCGGCTTACCAGGTGAGATCTCCTGACCTTAGTGTCCAGCTACAAGATAGCTCCCATGGCAGAGAGAAACACACTGGAGCAGGATATTGTCGCTCAGAGAGAGAGGACATATCAGATAAAGTTCTCAAGACTGGACCGTCTTAATAGGACGGAAACCAACTGGGTCTGAGAATCGGGATGGTTTGTCTTACCTGGGTAAGGGTGGATGCCATTAGCGAACACAGCTTCTGCGGTGGGCTGCCCATTAGCCTGCGGTGGGAGGCCTGTGAAACCATTCACCCCAATTGGGGACGGGATGCTAGGCACAGCCGGTGCAGTGATGCCAGGAGGTGTGCTCCCACCTACAGGAAGGAAGTAAACAGAGGGGGGGAAAAACAGCTTTAGGATGATGAATTCCACAGGTGGTGACCAGACACAGCAAACACGGATACTACGGTGACGAACACCAGTGGGACGCCTATAGATAACAAAATGAATAAAGGTCAAAATCATCTCACAATGCAATGGACAGTTTGCACCATCACGGGTAAGACTGTGCAACAGTTGCTCATGTTGGGGAGCGCGTAACAGGAGAAAGGTTTGCCCGGGCTTGTTTAACCCCAGGAGTGGGCTTTTCCTCCAGTGATCACAACCTTTAAACTAGATCCTCAGCTGGTGTCAACTGGCATAGCTCCCATGATGCTAAGGTCTGGCCTAATTTATTGGCAAACTATCAAGGCATTTTTTTTCTCACCATTGTTTGGCCTCAGAGGAGAATTCTGAGTCCCACCTTCATCGAGCATCTCATGTCATTTTGGTTTTAGTCTCGGAGATGTCAGCCTTCTGATCTTATTGAATCCAATGACTGGCCTACGGGCATGGCTATCACATGGCCTGCCTCTGAACTAGTAAGCTCTCCAGTTTCAGAATACGCTGAGTAGATGGCTAGTCCAAGAAGGAAAAAAGAACAGCTACAGTTTGTAGCATCGTAACAGTTACCCCCACAAGGACAGCATTTCATTGGTGCCGTTTCACCCAACCCTGGCTGCACTGAGAGAGGCAGACAGACCAATGGCTAAATTCAGGGGTGAGTCTTGCGTGCTGCCTACATTAGAGAAATAGGTGTACCAGTGATGAGCCCAAAGTGGCTATGCGGCACCTATGTAAAACAAATTCAACACTGCTAAGATTTAATTTAGTAATTTAACAGAATAAAATGCATGGTTCCCATCTCTTCTTGACATCAGTGCGTCAGTGTATTTGCACCAGATTAAGTATTGCTAATGGAGACAGGACCTAAGGAAGTCCAGGAGGAGTTTAAATTTCAGCAGCCCCCCGCAACATGTAAATTACTCCAGCAAACGCCTTCCAGACTTAGCGAGACTCACACCCACTTAATGTGACCAGGTGGGTGAAGTAATATCTTTTACCTCTGAAAAAGAGCTCTGTGTGGCTTGAAAGCCTGTCTCACTCTCTGCAATGTACATTGGCCAAACCAGACAGTCTCTACGCAATAGAATAAATGGACACAAATCTGACATCAGGAATCATAACATTCAAAAACCAGTAGGAGAACACTTCAACCTCTCTGGTCACTCAATAACAGATCTAAAAGTGGCAATTCTTCAACAATAAAAAATTCAAAAACAGACTCCAACGTGAAGCTGCAGAACTGGAATTAATTTGCAAACTGGATACCATCAGATTAGGCCTGAATAAAGACTGGGAGTGGTTGGGTCATTACAAAACCTAAACTTAATTTCCCCCATTCTAATTTCTCCCTACTGTTACTCACACCTTCTTGTCAACTGTCTGTAATGGGCCACTCTCTTACCACTTCAAAAGCTATTTCTCCTCTCTTGGTATCCTGTTGTTAATTGATTTATCTCGTTAGACTGACCTCACACTTGGTAAAGCAACCCCCATCCTTTCAAGTATTTATACCTGCGCCTGTATTTTTCACTTCATGCATCCAATGAAGTGGGTTCTAGCCCACAAAAGCTTATGCCCATTGTGTAACATAAATGTGTTAGTCTCTAAGGTGCCACAAGGACTCCTCGTTTTCACCAACCGAAGTTGGTCCAATAAAAGATGTTCCCTCACCCACCTTGTCTCTCTAAGATCCTGGGACCAACATGGCTACTACGATATTGCATACCCATTTAATGTGTCATTCACCCCTCCCTTTGTATAGATTCCAAGGCCAGAAGGGACGATTAGATCATCACGTCTGACCTCCAGTATAGCACATGCCAGAGAACTTCCCCAAACTACTTCCTTTTGAACTAGAGCATATATTTTTTTATTAAATATATTATATCTGAATTAGGCCATTGACTCTAATGGTATGTAAGAGGCTTTAACTCATGCACTACATGTAATTTGCACCAGTGTAGACATTCTTACACAGCAGTAGGTGGGAATAAGTAGGGCTAACAGAGTGTAATTGAGTCTAGTTCCCTCTGCCTCAGTCATCACGGCTGACTTTATTATCATGGTATTTTATTAAGGCAACGCTTAGAGGTCTCATCTGAGACCAGGGCCCAGTGGTGCTGGTCACTGCATAGACCCATAGTAAGAAGACCCGAAGATTTTACAAAATAAATAGACAAAGGGTGAGAGGGGAAACTGAGGCACAGAGAGACGACACGACTTGCCCACGGTCATGCAGCAGAGACAGGAACAGCACTCATCTCCCCAGAGCTGCAATCCAGTGCCGTAATCACTAGAGAACCCTGGCTCTGGGAAGCTGATCTCCTAGCTAAAGCGATGACCATCCACCCAGCAGCCATACTCTGACAGAGGCTCCTTGCATGTTCTCAGGAGACCTTAGGTACAATTCCACCACCAAAGTGCAGTGAAATTTGGGGTGGGCTCCCTGCTTCTGACAGAGACACCCTCTATCGCACCCCTGCCAGAGGTGGCTCATTACAAATATTTCTGAAAATCCATTTTCTTTTTGCTTTTGGAAGGGATCAGCTTGTCCGGGTGGCAGGTATTTTCCAAATATTTCCCGGGGCAAGAGTGATTCCTACAAGCAAGTGGAGGGAAGATGTTGTTTTAGACTCAGCAGACTGCATAGATTTGGTGATCAAAGACTCTAACTGAGACGACAAAATCTAAGCTTTTGGGAACTCTCCGTTTCTCTTACTGTACTTCTGTGGGGACTGAACTGTTCAGATTTTAATTTGTTTCCTTTATTTATGTTTATAACTGTGAAGGTAATGTCTGTGGGTTATAAAATAGTCATGTCATGCTGTAAAAATTTGATTATTTGTTTCTTTATCATAAGATTTGATAAAGTTATTTAATTAAATTCAAGTCTTTAGTTCCTTCTGGGACTTGAATGTGGGGAGGCTGACCCTGTGCCATCCTTGCTGAAAATCCATAGAGACTGAACTCTGGGTCTCCAGTGACTTTCTATGGGAGTTGGGGTTTTTTTTTTAAGGCACTGGAGATGGGAAACAAAGTGAACTCTAGCCCACCCAAATGTTACGCAGACACTCCGCTTTCGCTATCGCATAGTGGATGCTATTTCAGTGCCTTCCCGCTGCCCAGAACGGACACGTTGCTTCTTCTCCTTTGCTTCAGATGTCGCTGGCCTGAAGAAATTCCCTCTATGCAGTATGCGGGGCCCAGGGAACAAGAGGTGACATCCTGAGGTTCAAGGGCAGTACTCTTTGCACACAGCGTCAGTCTGAATGTCACAGAGACTAGTTAGCATTTCAGTCGCTTTTCCTGATCTCTCCTCTATTTGCATAGGAAATGTGATTTCTTTACTTAAAATTGCAGTGAGGATTTTTTTGTTGTTGAGGTTTATTCCCCTCAATTCTTTAATTTTCCTTTGCATAAACCCAGTGGGGCCGGATCCCGAGCTGGAGTAAGTCAGCGTAGCGCCGCTGAAGTGAGTGGAAGGAAACCACTTCACACCAGTGGAGGATTTGGTCCTATATTTGGAAATATTTTAATGCGATTATACAGATGATGTGAGAGATGCAAAACTCACATAGAGCAAACAGTAGAAAGGTTGGGCGGGGGGGGAGGCAGGGAGGAATAAATGGCAAATTCTGTCCAGCATGGTGATCTTAAGTCCAAGGCCACAAGGCTCAAGATGGAGCACTGCTATCTAGTTATCTACCATGCTAGTGTAACACTGACAGACCCCAGTTGTCGGTGGGTGGGACTGAACCTGGGATCTCTGGAGCTAAATGCTTGAGCCTCTACTACATGAGCTAAAAGCCACATGGCTGTTAGCTAAGGCTGTAGCAGATTCATTAATCTCTCTCTAAGTGGTCTTGGTGCCACTCGAGGGGCCAGAGCACCACACCCAGGAGGTGCGTGGGTTACAGTAGCTACATTAGCAGTACCATTGGCAGACAGAAAACTAGATGGAGGAGCACATATGGCAGTAGATGGATAGATGTACGTCTCTGTTTTCTCTCCCAGCCTTTGCCTGTCTTGCCTATTCAGACAGCAACCTTTGCCTGTCTTGCATATTCAGACAGCAACCTGTGTGGGGTCGGGACTAGGTGTCTACACAGCGCCTAAAACAATGGGACCCTTGAGCTCAGTTGGGAAGTCTAAGGGCTACCATAATGCAGATAATAAATGATGATAATTAGAGCTGGTTGGTAATGTTCTGGCTGCCATCCCCACCATCTCCTGGGATCCCCGTCCTTCTTCATCCTAATCCTGAAAATGGACCTGACCAGACCAGGCCAGAGAGAGGGACCCAGATGGCATCACCACCTCCACCGGCTTCAGCTGATTCCCGAACACCACCTGGTATGTGAGACTTTCTCACCCCCACTTCCCGTGTGTCATTTTCCTTATTTCTTCTCTTTCCTAGCCTCCTTTTGCCCTCTCGCTAATAAGAATCTGGCTTAGCTGGTCAAGACTGTAGATTTTGCAACCCTGCTGAAAGCCAGTGACCAGAAAGAGGAAGTTAAATGCAATGCCCTAAGCCTGCTGCTGGTACAAGTTTGCCAGGACTCTGAGTGGCTGATAAGACCATGTGGGGTGCCTGTGTTTTCCAGCAGTGAGGTTGCAAATGAAAGCCAACACCAGAGACAGAATGTGCATTTTCTATCTTTGCTGTTCTCTTCTATCCCCTTTTGTGTGCGTTTGTCTTGCTTTGTCTTCTTGGAAACGGGATTGAACAGTGGCAGTTACAGCATAGCTCCAGCCCATCTCAACTAACTTTTTCTCTTTTTGCCAAAAAGGATAGGTATTATCCTCTAAGAGATGAGACAGACAAGGTGGGGGAGGTGATATCTTTTATTGGACCAACTTCTGTTGATGAAAGAGACAAGCTTTCAAGCAGGTCTCTTGTTTAGCTCAAAAGCTGGTCTCTTTCACCAAC